CTTAAGAAGGGTATTTTATTTATCTATCTTATAAAAAGGTTTTTAAAATTATATAAAAGGTCTTAAAATATAATTAAATATAATAGTATATATTAATATAGAAAGGAAAAGCTACCTACTACTTAGCTAGCTTATTTAATAACTTTAAAAATAAGACTAAAGAAGGAAAGGTATAATATTATAAATATTATTATATAAATATAAGACTAGGCTAGACTATTTAAGTAAGTATACCTATAGCCTAGTTAAAATATAAGGTTATATAATAGCTTATTAAATTATTAAGATAAGCTAATAATATAAGATTATTAGGATAATTAAATAAGCTTTATAAGTCTAGTTTATAGTAAAGAGATAAATAAGTACTTAAGAGGGAGGTATTTTTATAGCTAAGTAGTCTAGATCTTTACTAATTAATTTAAGTAATTCTAAGTAATTAGTTTTAAGAGTTCTACTCTTAATAATTTCTTATACTAAAGATACTACTTATTATTACTCTATAGTATTTAAACCTAACTTACTACCTAAGAAATAGACTAACTATAGATTAGGATTAAGCTATCGTTATAGTAGGCATGTAGTTAGTTTAGGATAATAAGAGGGCTGAAGCTAGATATTGTAATAGAAATTTATATATATATATAGTTACTATATAAAGCAATATATTAGGAGAACTTGATCCTAAATAGGTTCTAAGTTAAATTACGTATATAGGGTATTAGGGCGGCTTCTACTAAGCCTAATATAGAAGTATATAATATAATTTAGTTATTGTTTAGATTATTTATTTATTAAAATATAAGAAAAATATATTATATATAAAATATAATACTAAAATAAAGATAAAGAAAAATAAAAGAAAAATATACTATTAAGCTAGGTATTAAAGTAAAGCTTACCTCTAAAAGTAGCTTTTATAGAAGGCCTAAAGGTAATTAATTACCTTTAGGAAGTTAGAATATTTATTAGTTAGTATATATAACTACTAAAGTTAAGTACTTAGTTAATAGCTATATTCTATTATTCTAGTACTTTAACTACTAAATCCTTTTATAATTATAATATTAGTAGTTTTTTACTTTTAGTTAAAGTAATAACTTACTTTATAGTTACTTTCTTAAGAGGGAAAGGCTTAGTATAATTAACCTAGTCTTAGAGTTATAAATAAAGTTTATTTTTATTAATTAATTCTTTTAATACCTTATTAAGTACTAACTTTATAAAAGTATTAGTAAAGTTATTATCTTTATTAATTTAGTAAATTTTAGTAATTTTTTAATATTTATAAGATTATTTTAGTATTATAATATTAATTATTAGGTATTTTTTTTATTAATTTTAGCTTTATTAAGTATTTATATAATAAAAAGAAGTTGATATAAACTACTATTAGTATATTAAATAATCTAAACTTTATAATAATTATTTTTAATATTATTAAAAAGAATATCTAATATTAATACCTTAAATTATATTATATAACTTTAAAGCTAAAGTACTTTAAGTAATTTACTTTAATTTTATTAAACTATAAATTATAATATTACCTTAAATAATAACTTAGTTATTTCTAATAGTTTTTTTATTATTAACTAAGATAATATATCTTAGTTAAGAACTTAAATTTTTATTATTAGTAAAGGAACTATTAATAAAGATATAAAGTTTTAGTTTTTTTAAATTTAATAAAATATAATAAAAGCTATACTCCTAGTTATTTATTTATTATTAAATTCTAATAAATAAATACTTAAACTACTTTTTATTTAGGTCTTAGAACTAAGCTATTATAAATAAGTTAAAAGCTACCTCTAGCTAGTATATAGTTAAGATATATATATCTTAGGCTTATTATTCTATATACTTTTTTTTATTTTAAGATACTTAAAGCTTAATAGCTTAGCCTTTCTAGGTAATAGTTATAAAGTTATTCTTAACTATTATTAATTTATAGTTATTAAAGATTAATAAGTTATTAGTACTTAAAAAGTCTTTAAGTTTTATTTAAAGCTAGGCCTTTTATAGTTTAATATTTTTAAAAATATTAAAAGCCTTAGTACTTAGGCTAAGAGTATTATTTATTTATATTCTAATAATAGTAAATTTAAGGCTTTTAGTAATTAATAGGTATAGATTATAAGTAAATATAATTATCTTAAGTTTTTTTTTATAATAGTTTAAGTATATTATATATTAGTATATACTTATTTTAGTAAGTTTATATAATAGCTTTAATATTTAAATAATATCTTTTAGTTTATATATATATTATAATTTTAAGGGAACTTAGATAAGGATTTTCTATTATAGCTAGGTTATTACCTAAAGGTATACTTAAGTAATATTCTAGATTTAGACTTTTATTTAAAATTTAGGCTTTATTAATAATAGTATTAATATAATAATAAACTATTAGCTTATTTAGAGGATTATTAAGGCTTAGGTTAATAAAATAGTTTTATTTTTATTATTAAATCCTTAAATAACTATTCTTAATTTTTTATAAAGGTTTTTATTACTTTTTAATTTTAATTTATTTATTATTTTTATATTAAATAAGTATTTAAAATACTTAATAAAGTTAAACTTAATAAAATAGAAGATACTTTAGTCTATAAGTCCTTTAATTTTAATAGTAATTAACTACTAAAATAGCTCTTTAGGTATTATAATAATACCTTTTTAGTATAATTTTAATATAAGTTATTAATTATATTTCTCTTTAGTAAATAAAAAAAAGATATTTATTCTTTTTAATACTTATAACTTTAGTATATATTTTAATATTAACTCTAAAGTATATATAACTAAGGTTATATATAATATACTAAAACTAAGAGATATTATTAGTAGTAAGTTATCTTCTTTATTAGTATTATAAAAGTTATTTTTAGGAAGTTCTTCCTCTTCTTATAATAATAAGATAATTAGTTCTTTATTAAAGAATAAAGTAGCTAGCTCTTCTTTAGTATTATTAAGAGAATTATTAGTTATTAGGGTTTTATTATTATCTTTATCTTTAGAGGTTATATTAGAGTTATTATTAGTAGCTTTAGTAGCTAGAGTAGTTATTTTAGTTAAAAGATCTTTTAAAATCTCCTTTTTTATTAAAAAGGGTTTTACTATTATTAATTAGAAGACTTTTAGGCCTTAAGGTATATTTATAATATACCTTTTATTATTAATAATAATTAACTTATAAGGGCTAGTTTAGCCTTATTTCTCTTATTAAATATAAATATTTAACTATAATAAGAGGTAATATAGTAAGATAATATTTAGTCTATTATATATTACTAATATATTTTATACTTAGTAAGATATTAAAGCCTTTTAGATATTTATTATAGTTTTTTAAATTATTTAAAGATATTTTAATAAAATAAAATAATATTTAAATTCCTTTTTAATAATCTTATAAACTTATTATAATAAATTATAATACTTTTCTAGTTAATTAATACTATTATAAGCTTTTATTAGGATAGTTTATATTTAAATATATATTTTAATAATATATTCCTTAAATTTAATAAAGTTAAAGTTACTTTTAATATTATAGACTACCTATTTTAAAGGGCTAAGATATATATTAATCTAGTAGGCTTTTAGTATATCTTAAATAATTTTAATAGACTTATTATTACTATTTTTACTTTTTTATAAGAAATAAATTACTTAGAAAGAGATTATAGTATTTATTATATATAATACTAATATTTATT